AAGATGTATTTTAGTCATTTCTGGTTTAAACTGAGATCCCTTCCCTTTATAACTCACTTATCCTCCGCCATTCCCAAGTCAAGGATCGTATATATTGACCCAATAGCGTATCCTGAAAACTAGAGCCAATCAACAATTTGAAGCACCATTTTCGTTCTCAGTGACCCAGAATTAGTAAAGTTTGACTGCATTTATTTCAGAAGCATTTTGGCTGTAGAGCAGTGAATTTGTTCCTGGGAGAATAATAGAAGTTTGTCTTTCCCCCAATTCCCAGAATGCATTTTCAAATCTCCCACAAGACACTTACAGAAGGAGTTGTTGGGGAAAAAATGGTTACCTATCTTTCCATAACTGTTGTTTTTCAAGATGTGCTGCAAATGTCCATTCCTCTGTAGGTGTGTGCGCACACCTTGTGCACAGCTGGAGATTTCCCCCTCAGCAGCACCTGTCAGGGTAGTGTGATTGGCCTCAATAGAGGACCATACTGCCTCTGACCCCTGTCTGTTCCTTTCTAAGAAAGACTCAGAGAGGGGAAGGAGGATAGGTTGTGGAATGGGAATGTGCAACACCTCTCACAGACCGACCGTTATGGAAAGGTCGGTAACTGTTTTTCTTCTTTGAATGATTGCGTATGTCCATTCCTCTGTAGGTGACTCAAACACTTTGAACTGGAGGCAAGTTCGGAGTCTACTTAAACAGGGATTGTAAAACCACCTGTCCAAATCTGGCATCATCTCTCGATTGATGAGAGACGGCATAGTGAGAAGCAAAGGTATGGACCGATGATCAAGTTGCTATCTTACAAATGTCCAGGATGGACACATGAGCTGGAAAAGCTGCAAAAGCTGCTGGTGACCTAGCTGAGTGAGCTACAACTTTACTTGAAGGAGCAGTATCAGCCAATCGGTAGCATAAATTAATATGGCTGGAGATCCAGGCAGCGATCTAGTGGGTGGCCCTTTAGTCTGTCTGAAACTGCAATGAAGAGCTGAAACATAAACCTGAATGGCCTAGTCTGATCCAGGTAAAAAGCCAAAACTCTTCCGACATCTAGAGTATGGAGTTTTTCCTCCCATTTACTCAAATGAGGCTTTGGAAAGAAAGTTGGTAAGTAAATTGCTCGATTAATATGAAAATCAGAAACCACTTTAGTCAGGAATTTTGGGTGAGGCCAAAGGAAAACCTTATCCCTAAATAAAATTGTATAGGGAGGCTCTGATACTAAAGCTCATATCTCC